AAACAAGTGGTAGCTTCTGCTCACTTGGCTGGTTAAAACCAGTGTTGTTTTTAAGGAAAGTGTATAGACTTTATTATAATAAAGACAAAAACCTTTTGAGAATGTCTGTTTTTTGGGTTGGCAAAAGGATCAGCGAAAAGAGTTGTCCTTAAATACAAAACTTTATTTAAATAAAATATTTCTTGTTATTATATTAACAATTTTTATATAATAAATTAATGATAATTTATTATAACAAGACTATTGATATTAAATATTACTATAAAAATAAACTTATATTAATAATATTAAATGACTAATACTTATTTAAAATAATGAAATTATTGTTAATGTAAATATTTGTTTGTTAATATAGTTATATAAAGAATTTAATAAGTTTAAGATTTTATTGAAAGTAGTATTGTTATTTTTATTTGTATTTATAGAATTAATATTTTTTTTTCATTTTATTTTAGAGACTGGAAAGATTATTGCTAAAGCAAATTATTGTTTTCATGCTTTATATAAGATTTTTATTATTAAAATAATAATAAATTTTAAAATATTTAGAAAGTTAATTTTAAAATAACTAAAAAAATAATTAATATTAATTATTTTTTTATTATTTATATTTTTTTAAAAAATCAATTTTAATTAATAAAATTGTTAAAACATAGATTAAAATTATATATATTTTAAAAACAATATTTATAAGAACAATATATTTGAGTTATAAAATTTATTATTTAAATTAATATCAAAAGTATAATTAAAATATTTGTTTGGAGTATTTTTAAATTAATTTAATATGTTTGTTTTTAAAAACTTAATTTTTTTTTATAAGAATTATGTAATAATAATATTGTTTAAGTTAAATAGTCAAAAAAAATAATTTATAATTGAAAATGCCATATAAATTTAATGAATTAAAATTAATTAATTTGATTTTTATAATATATATTTTCAAATATTATTATATTGTTTTAATGATAATATAATAAATTTTTTAAATTAAATATTTGATATAAATATAATATATAACAATATAAATTTAATTTAGTATAATAAAACCCTATAAACTTTATCATGTTATATTAAAAATCAATCAATGCTTATTATTATTTATGGATTGATTTAAAAAACAAAAAGAAAAGCATTCACTTGAAAACAAACAATAAATTTAAATATAAATCTTGAAAAACATATACAGTACAATAATGTATTATTTGATTTGTAGACATACTGCAATATTCATTTATGTAGTCTAATTCTCAAATTCTAAGAAATAATAAATAATTATCGTTTACTATAATTATTACATTCAACTTAAGCCATACGATAGTGAACGTTTTTAATTTAAAAAATAATGTACAATGCATTTCTATAAAAATGATTTTTTCACGTGCGAGTTTCAGAGGAATTTTATTTAAGACTTATCATAGAAGCTAAGCCCAAATGGTTCTATATTTAGAATATGGTCAGGGAAAAATTCCAAAATTCCTTGATGGATCAAGAAACAAAATTGACACAAAATAACCCTCATTCCATTCTTCGCATTAGTGGAGAAATGAACGAAAATCGCATCAATGGATTGATATGCTTTACTTTATTAATCCTTATACACGCGGAGTTTTTTGAGCCTAAAGTCGTACAACTCATACCGAAGAGAAAACATTCATTACGTATGCACCCATTCGTACCGAAAAGTTTTAATAGACACATACGTGCGTATGCAATGTTATTTGAACAAGTGTTAAGTAAATGATTTTCAGGTGGCCCAATGCTCATTCGGTGAAGACGAAAGATCAAAAGCAGTGCCTCGAAGATTGTAATATCTACAACAAATATAGTTAGAAAGCGTTTTTTAGAGAGGAATTGAAACCGGTTTAACGATTAATTGGGTATTTCATCAAGGTTTGTATGATCACGCGATTAGGTTACGATAACTATTATAATTATGCGTGATTCTGATACGACGAAAAACAAAGAAGTTAGGGCTGAGTAATTTCTGATAATATTTATCACAGGATTTCCTATGCAGATGTGACCTTTAAAGTTATATAAAAATGATAACAGATGATTTTTTACATATCATAGGTTAACCCCGTATGATTGGATGTTGATAAATTAAGCAATTCCAAAATAAGCTGTAGAGGTTTGTATCAACTTCTAGGTGTACGTCACACTTTTTTTTGTGGCTTCTTACCAAAAATGGCTTGGTGATTAACACTTCGACGGACCAATCTTCAAGAATGAAAGTTGCAGCCTGGTGTAACAAAAAATTGTACGTAACATACATAACATACATACGTATGTGATAAAAACCTCCTGGGCGTTTCACCGTATAATTTGATAGTTGCATAAAAAAATGCCAAAACACCACTAGATAGTATCTAAGAGAATCTAAACCGCTGCTGTGTTCCCGTCACTTTATGTCGTCGGTGTTTTCTATTGTTTACTACCGTCGTGTTTCTTTCTTACTGCCTAATCTACATTTTGTCCCTCGTCTCCCTTACCTTTCCTTATCTCTTTTCTTCCCTTATATATTTATAATTTGTTTTTTTGGCTTTCTACCTGAGTTCTCTATTTTTTTGCTACGGGACCTTACGGTGGTTTCCCTTTATTTAAAGGGTCGGATACTTTCGGGTGAAACACGGCAACATAGGATACATTCAACCGAACTAAATCGTCGAATTCGAGCGTAGTTTTCGTTGCCTTGGGACCGTCGTCAACCGTTTTCATTGCTAGCGAATATACACAGAGTATTTTCTTATTGTTGCCTCGGCTCCGCTTTCATCCCAAAGAATCAGAGTTTCACTTTTTTTACGGAATTCCACAAAGGACTGGTCAATGGCAAACGGTGAAAAAAGGTTAATACCAGAAGACAGAATGGAAAAAAGAAAAGTTAGTAAAAGGCGTCAAACTGGAACGGCAAAAGACGATATTGAGGTATATTTTCTCATAACATTTTTTGATGAAATTCAAATGAGTTTTCGGATTGGATTTTTTTTTTTTTTCTTTTCTTTTCTTTCAAAAAAAGTTTAGTCGTGGTGAGATTGTCGTGATCAACGTGAAAATCAATAATATTTATAACATTTCTTATATTTGAAAGCTTTTTCAGTCGCCTCCCAGCTCTCCACGTCTCGCACCGAAATCATCACACCTTACATCATCTCTAGAAGCGCCTTCTCAGTTACAGACACCTTTCTCTTCTCCACCAGTTTCACGGCCTCCATCTCCGAACCCAGTAGATGCGCCTTATTTTGCACCTTTATGTTCCTCTCGTCTCTCAACTTCCAATGTCGCAATTATCACCACGGTCGCCCGCAATCATATTTTGTTAAATGGTGATTTTGTTACTCAAGAATCACTACATCAACAAAATATAAATATCATCTCTCACAATTCTCATGCGAATATCATTAACAACTCCATACCACCATGTGCTAGGTGCCCACCAGAAATAATATATCACATATTTGAGATTCTACGCAATATTCATCAACCCTCCCTATTCTCTTGTATTCTTGTTAATCATCAATGGAATGCCATTGGAACGAATGTTTTATGGAACTCCCCAAAATTTACACACATGCGTTCGCTTGACAAATTCATTAAAACCATGGAAAATGCACCATCATACCAACAGCAAGCATCACAATCTTCAACAACTGCATCATCATTAAATCATCCTTACGCTTCCTATATTCGTACCTTGGATCTTACATATCTCACAGAACATGACCGTAATAATTCCTCTTTATCATCACATCTTCTTCGTCTACTTCCACTCATTCACACAGAAAGCCTTCGTACACTTAATCTAAGTTTTGTTAAAGGAATCACTAATAGTTACCTCACAAAATTATTATCCCCATTTTTCAATTGTATCCGCACTCTAAATCTCGCTGGTGGTTCGCGTTCGGATACATGTCTTTCATCCATCATACCACATTGTCATCAAATTCAACATCTTTCACTTGCATGGAATACATCACTTTCGGATGCATCAATTAACAAGATTGCCAATGTATGTGGTAAGAGGCTACGCACACTTGATTTAACAAATTGCGAAAAGGTCAGTGATAGGTCAATGAGTTCTATTGCACAATATTGTGTGAAACTACGAGAATTAAGGGTTAGTTACTGTCGCGGGGTGAGCGAGGTGGGGGTCAAATCAGTAATCGAAGGTTGTGAAGAGTTGAAATTATTAGATTTGGTGGGATGTCTGAGTGTTGATAGGTGTTTCTTATTGAAATGTAATGACGATTTTCATTTGGCGAGGCGTGACATGAAACTTATTTGGCGAAGAGTGACAGAAAGCTCACCTTCTTGGGTTGAAGACAGCTGAAATGTGGATTCAGCTAATTGGGATTATGCGCCATATATATTTTCTTAACAAAACCGACTGTCTTTTGGGATTTCCGATTTGCATGTTTTATTTGTACATGATTCAAAAAGAAGATTTATATTCACATATGACTCTTCGTGTTATGATTATTAAACATTTAACTAACAGTTGAACGTAAAATAACCTCGAGTAGATACCATAAGTGTGGATTTAAAATGTTAATAAAATTTCTTGAGTGTCGAGTTGATTTTTACCAATTTTCAAAAAACAACCAATGTAAGCGAATTTGTGTAATAAATAGTTTTTATCATTTGTTTTTTTTTTGAATCTTAAATCTTTTTCTATTCAGGTGTTTTGTATTATATAATATAAAAATAGATTAAGCAACATATATTAGATTATTTTATAATAAATTCGTATGTTGTGAAAACAAAACTTTTTTTAATTATTCAAATACTCAAATTATATAATTTAATTGTTAAAAAATATAATATCAAAATTTTAAAGTTAATTGCTTATGTATTATATCTTGTATAAGATTTTTTTTTTGTCAAAGTTTATTTATTGTTTATTACAAATATGGAAAATTAATTTGATTATTTTATTAAAATTCTAAGTAGCAAGATTTTATGTTACGCAAAAATTTTATTTATACGCAAAAAAAGAAGATTTTTTTTCCATTTGCATCAGCCGGGAGTTGAACCCGGGCCACTCGCTTGGAAGGCGAGTATTCTACCGCTATACTACTGATGCTGCTTATAGAAAATGGCGAATATATTTAATAATTATCATAAACTTGCATCATTAACACATACAATGACCATTCATGACGTAAATAGAATAAAAAAAGGTAAAAAACAATGAATATCTATCCATTTAAATGTACTAAACATTTTGTCTTTTAATGATAAAATCGATCGAGAATTCTGGACGTGCGTAACCTTACGAATGTGGAAAGTATCTACATATCGAAATTTCGTTAATCTGTCGAAGCCGTTATGGTCAATCCTTTCAATTCATTACTATGTAATGTTTGGTAACCTCTTTTAAATAACTCAATTAATTTATCCTAACAGGTTAAATGAATTTAAACAAAGTTTTATTTATATTCACTTTTTTTTTTTCAAACGTTCCAGATGGTGTGATTATGTTCCATGTTGCAACAGAGCTTTCTTCATAGAACATAGAAAAGCGGAACATCTGGTGAATTAGCAAAAATGTGTTCACATCAAGAGCGCTAAAAAATGTATAAAAACGGGGCCCTCATGATGTCTAACTCTCAGATAAAATACAAATCCCAGTCTCAATCAAACATAATAATCCGTGCGATATCATGGCGTCTTTAACCCGAGGAAATTATTGTCTAAACGCTTGTGAGCGGTGTCATAAAAAGAAACTCAAGTGTGATAAACCTACCAATACCAATACTATCATCACAATTGAAGAAGCCGCCTGTAGTCAGTGCTTAAAAGCAGAGATAGAATGCAAGGTTAGGATAAAAAAGAAACCGGGTCCGAAAACCAAGAATAAAAATCTTGACGATAACGATTTTGACAATGGTTGTATCAGTCCCCCAAACACCGATGATTTGGACGAGGATGATGTCGCACATGATTATTCAAATGGTGGTTATTAAACACTTTTCGCCTTTTCTCACAGCACTTCTAGCAATTTTACTGATTATGAATTTTTTTATTAATTGATTAGCACAAGTTCCCCATACATTGTCACCAATATCACCAAATTATAGTAGCTCTCCTATCGACTCTTTAGTGCACTCACAAACCTCCTCTCCAGGATCACACACTTCTGTGATGGGAAGCTCAAACTTTCCATTTCACCCAATAGAAATAATAGAAAAGATGTCATTGGAAAAAGTTCGTCAAATCGAACCAAAACAGATTTATGAAATATTCCACTACAATTCTGAGGGTGAAAGTGATGCGGGATTGGGAATTACGTATGAGAACCAACAATAACTGGTTATGATCAATATAGAACAATGTGTAGTATATATAACATATAACATTCTTTACATTCCATCAATATATATATCATTCAATTCTTAGTTTATAGACACATCACATATCTTTACCACTTTCTAATAGATTATATAATAACTTAATAGAGATAGATTAATTAATACACTTAGATTAATGAACATTGGCTAGAAAATTTTTATCTCATGATATTAGAAGAAATTTAACTGGCAAAATATACCAGGATCATATTTTCAATTAAACAACATTTGAGAAATGCCTGATACTTTACTTCTTATAACCTTTCGATTTGGAAAGAGAATCGCAGACAAATGCATATTAAAAAGTTGTAAACCATTTTAATATGGATTTATTTTTACAAATTATAAAGGTTTAAATTTGATTTTGTAATTATGAACTATATATAGAATTTTCTTTTTAGAACCATTATAAAGGTATCTTTGTAAAAAGCGTTATATTTTTTATGACTATAATTCAAGACTTTTGAAATAAGTAATATCTTTTAAAAGAGCAAAATTCAAATTTATGAGAATATTTTTTTAACAAAAATATGAAATACAAGAAGTAAAACATTATAGAAAAATAAATTTACTTATCTTCTGATATACATGATTATTCAGGTTCAAACATGATACTGTAAATTTGATTCTTTTTTTTAAATTCAACATTTTCCATATTGTTTTAATTTTAAAATTTATTTAATAATTAAATTAATAAAAAAAAAAACAATATATTGCTATAAAATTAACAATAAAATATTTGGTTTTGGTTTTTTAAGATTTTTTTTTTTTGTTAAAATTCTTTAATTTTATTTTGAAAAATATCAAGCAAAAAGATAATTATCATGATTTATTAAAATTATTTAATATTTATTTTAAATATTTTAAAAAAATTTAAATATATATTTTTTATTTTAATAAAGGTTTTTCAATATCAATTTAATATAAGGATTTATTATTATAATAATAAAAGTTTTTTGATTTTAATTAATGATTTTTTTTCTCTAGATAATAATAATAACAAATAATATTAAAATATATTTAATTATTAATTTATAAATCAATAACACTTGTTGATTTTTTTAATAATATGTTAAATTTTTTTAAAAAATTTTTTATAATTAAATATTTTAAAATAATTACTCAATCTTTTTATCAAAACTTTAAAGTTTTTATATTGATTTAAAAATAAAAAATATTTTGATTTTAATTTTTTTTTAATATAATTTATTATAATTATATACAATATAAAAACTTTTTTTAACAAATATTTTAAATTTCAAAAAAATTTTTTTGTTAATTTTAAAAATAATAAAAATAATTGATATTTTTTTTTATTTTAATAGTTGCTGTTTAACTTTTTTCAATAATTTTTTTTATTAATTTTTTTTAAAATAAAACATGAAATTTTTTTTGATAATTATAATTTTCAATATATTAATAATAAAATTAACAACTTAACTAGCCATATAAACAATAATACCAATAATACTATTACAAATTTGTCAAAAACAATATTATCTTTTATAATAAAAAATCAAAGCAAAGTATAAAGTCATTTTACAAAATATTTAAATTTTAAAAATATTAAAAAAACTAGTTATAATTATTACAAAGCTATATATATATATATATATTTTTTTTTTTTTTTTTTTAAGTGGAACGTGCGCAAGGCATGTGATCTTTATTGATACAATCTAAAAGCTATATATATTTGTAATAGAAGCAGTACTATTAATATATATAAATATTTTAAAAAATATCATATAGCAAAATTAAATTGAATCATTAATAAATCTAATATCAAAAAT